AAAATAATAAATGTTTGGCTATTTTCACACACACACACACACACACACACACACAACACACACACACACACACACCTCCTCTACTTAAGACTCACTACCTCTCAAATCAACCCATTTTAGATTGTGGGCCTCTCAGGCTAAATCTAACTTCCTAAAGCTTCCAGACTTTACTCCTGCTTCCTCCCTTTGGACCCAGGTAGAACAAATCTAATTTCTCTTTCCATTTCATCCCTTCAAATACTAGAAGAGAGCTATAATGTCCCCCTTGACTCTTCTCTTTTGGCAAAGCTTACCCTTCTATTTATCATATGACATGGATTCCTATATTCTTGTCCAGATGATCTTTCTGACCTTGGCTTCACTAGCTTAGGCCCCAACCACCAGACTACTCAGATAATAACCATTGTAGCCAGCAGCTGAGCAGCAGAATCCTGAGTGTGGGACCATCTCTTCTGTGTTGGTTCTTTCCTGATATTAGGTGTATCCAACCCCAAATGAACATGTCCACGTCTTGAGGCTGCTTGTGAGTTCCATATGTTCCATGATTCTGGGCTCTTTGGTCAGAGCTGATTGGTAGCAAGGGGTAATTGCTTCCTACTCTAGATCTTGGAGCATATGTCCACCACCAAGAAGAAATACCCTAGCAGAGCTTATAAGAAGACATCTACTGAGAGGGGGACAGTGCAAAGCAGAGGTGAAATGTAAAATGCCTACTGAAACAGTCCTGAAAAATCTTCTCTGTTTAGATAAGGTTGAAATGGTGACTTTTTGGGAGAGTGTAATGGAAATTAGTGCTGCCATTTGCTTAGATTTGTTTTTAATCTGGTTTAAGATGATTTGTTCAGTGTTTTGTATTTATCATTTCCTTTGTGAGTAGGAAACAAATACCTTTCCCATATCTGATTCACATTGTGCACCAGGTACCTCCCCTTTTGAGGAAACCCTAGACATGAGCCAATATCTGAGCTTAAGTTAAATCATCCTGGGACATCAGGGTATGGACATAACAAGACAGAGTTTGAGAAAAAGGAAACTCACAATTCTTATTAGAAGCCAAGCTTCCCCAGAACTAAAACCCAGGCAGATTTTGTGTGTGTGTGGTGTGTGTGTGTATCCAGAGCAAATGGGCCACTCAGAGAAAAGGGAATAAATAGGTAGAGTGTTCTAGCCCTCTGGGTATGGCAGTGGTGATTACAGTTAGATAAAACTCATGTTTTACAAAGCTCATGCCTTCCAACTTGTGAGGGAGGCAGTGAAAGCATTCTTCTCTCCATTTTCCAGATAAGGAACTAAAAATTGCATAGAGGAAATAGTTTTTGTTAAGTCAGTTATTCAATCATTTTTCAGTTGCATCTGACTGTTTATGACCCCATTTGGGGTTTTCTTGGCAGAGATACTGGAGTGGTTTGCCATTTTCTTCTCCAGCTCATTTTACAGATGAGAAAACTGAGGCAGATAGGGTTAAGTGACTTGCCTAGGGTCACATAGCTAATAAATGTCTGAGGGTGGATTTGAACTCCAGGAAATGAGTCTTCCTGACTCCAGCCCCAATGCTTTATCCACTTAGCCCCCTAGCTGCCCTTGCTGGTAACCAGCAGAAGTAAAACTCAAAGCTAGGTCTCATGAGTACCGTACAGGGCACTTTGCTCCCTCCTCTAGCCCTCAGGAATACAGAAAAGCATGCTAGGCTATGTCTGAGTTGAGCAGGTATGAACGTAAAGTGGTAAATGAGTGTTCCTACTGTACCCACCGTCCAGCCTTCAGAAACAACATCTACTTAGCATCCAGAAAGAAGAGTGTTCCTTCCTGTAGCAAAGGGAGTTTGAGGTAAGCACAGACCCTGAATAATTCAGACGATATTCTCTGGAAGCCAGCGCACTCTCCTCTCTGGCTGTGAAGAAAATACGTTTGTAGGAAATCTTCCTGGGGGAAGGGTTTTCTATGTCCAGGCTCTGTTCCTCTGGTCCAACCAGGCTCGTCCCAGGCAGAGATCCAAGGCATGAGATCGATCTATGAAGCAGAGAGAACCCTGCCTCACTTCACTCCCCTGCAGAGTCTAGAGAGCCCCAAGTGATGAGGAATGGACCCAGGCAACATGGATGCCCCTCCCTGGCTAAATCCATTTATCAAATGAAGTTGCAGGTCAGTTTGATGACTTGGTCACAAAGTGAGGCAGATTACTTTGTCCAGGCACAAGCCAGGGACGGGAGCGTCTAAGGAGCCGACTTATCCAGTTCTGTTCTTCTCCAGCTCAGACGTGTCCTGGGGGCTGTCAGAACATCATCAGACTAGGATATTTCCATCCCTTAAGATGAGAATAAGATCCTAGAGTCATTTAGCTGACACTCTCAGATGTCGCCCAGAGAGAGAGGAAGAGACTTGGACAAGGCCAAGTGGAGCTAGAAGTAGAATCCAGGTTTTCCTGAATCCCAAATCGAGTTTTCTTTCCATTATATCAGACTAAAGGAGAGGGTGTAATGTATACCCTCTCGTGTCCAGCTTCATACTCTTCTCTCCTGATCTGCTTGCTACTTCCCTATCCTGCTATATTCAAAATCAGCATGAGTAACTCCGTTTTGCTTTTATCTGCCATTTTGTGAAAGTAAGTTTCAACTGCCCGTAAGTCATCTGATCTTGTGTGTGTGTGTGTGTGTGTGTGTGTGTGTGTGTGTGTGTGTGTGTGTGTGTGAGGCAATTGGGGTTAAACCCAAGCTAATTAAGTAACAAGCGTCTGAGGCCAGATTTGAACTCAGCTCCTTCTGATTCCAAGGCCAGAGCTCTGTCTACTGTGCCACCTAGCTTCCCCAAGTCATCTGGTCTTAAATTACAAGATTGCTTCCCCCTCCCAAAAGTCACCCGATTTAGGGAATATCACAAAACTAACCCCTCTCCCTCTATCTTCAGGGTCTCCCAACCCCCCCATCCCCCCCACACACAGTGAGACCAGATGTCTCAATATAAGCCTGTGTTTCCTGTTTTCCAGTCACTCCAAACCGTATATTAACTGTGAGAAACCAAGATTCTTGGGTGCAGTTTGTTTTGCAACCGTATGCATTGCCAAATAAATCATTTGTCTGGATGAAACTCAGTTTCTTCCCTGCCTCCTCCCCTACAAACACCATCCTACCCCGTCCACCTCTTGTTCAATCCCCAAACCTCCTCCACTCTCCACTGTTAGCAATATCCCAACTCTACTAGGAAGCCAGTCATTTCATGGCTAAGCTGAGCAGAAGAGTTGTTGTTATTTTAACACCATCATGAGATCACATTTCATAAGAGGAAAAAAATTATTCATATCTTTTGTTCTTATATCACCTTCATTTCCAGATAGAGGTTGTCCCAATAGCTTCAAAACACACTAAGACTTTTAGGACACCCTATATAGCCTTACTCCTCCCCTACCCAGAGAGCCATCCTCCAAAGATAATGAAAAGGGGCAAGTGGGTCAGCAGTATGAACTAACAGATCAGCTGAGCTTCATAGGATATGAAATGTTTACCCATCCATCTCCCCACCTCTGCAAGGGAGATAGGGCAGTGAGTTTTTTCATCCCTTCTCTGAGAACAAGATGGGTCATCCTCATCACACAGGAGAGACCCTGTTCCTGTAGGGTTTTAAATTTTACAAAGTGCTTTTTTCAGAACAGCCTTCATGAGGTAGACAGCACAGAGTGTACTATCTCCATTTTATGGATGAGGAAACCAAGGCTGGGAGACAGCCACAATACATCTAGTGTAGCTGTTCTGGAGGAAGAATCCCCTCTTGTTGGGAGCTGTAGAATCTGGAGCTAAAAGGGACTGTGGTGGTCATGAAGTCCAAGCCCTTTATTTTACAGATGAAGAAACTAAGGAAGACAGTGACTGGCCCAGGGTCACACAGCTAGAGTCTAAGACTGGATTTGAACTCTGGTCTGCTTGACACTAGATGCAGAGCTCCACCCACTGCACCACCTAGCTGCCTCCAAGGTCACACAAGTAATAAATGGTGGTGTTAGGTATCAGACTTTGAGTCTGTCCCCCTCTCCACTGTACAACTGCCTTGGGCTATTGCTGAGGGGAGTCCTTGTTCTGGTATAGGCTGGACCACACATTGCCTGAGGCATCTTCCAGTCTAGGAATCCTATGGACACTCATCTGTTGCCCAGTGGAACCCTGACAGTTGGTGGAATATTTTCAACCTTTTGGGGCAGGGAGAGAACTTGAGCTCTGGTCTCTAATCTTCTGAGTAGCCATTAAATTCCCTGACCAATTTATGAGACAGAATTGTTCCTGATGGTCCACAAGCAACATGGAGACACTCTTACAACTCTGACAAAAGCCAGAAATCCCAGGGAGCCTAATACTAGCTCAGCCCCGATATGGTGGCTGAGGGGCCAGGTCCTCACCACTGCTGTTAGCTTTTCCATTTCAAATCCAGTCCACTTTCTTACCCCCAAGAGTATCTTCTGCCTGTATCAGAATCATGGAGTGTTTCAGCTAGAAGAGAAAGACTTAAAGAAATTAGGCCCAAAATCTTCTTCAGCTTAGGAGAAAATGGCCTGTTGTGGGGTGGGGTGGTGAGTGACTTATGCAGTGATAAAAATAGTGAGTCTCTGGCGCAGCAATTAGAATCTAGGCTTCTAGACACTCTCTAGTCCTTTGTGTCAAGCTATGGGGACCTCGCTAAGTGGCTCTCCAGATTTGCTCCCCATCTTGCCTGTCTTTCAGCAGCACCACACAGACAAGCCTTTTGGGTGCCAAGGTCCAGCCCTGATCATACAGCCCTGACCCCCATTAGGTCTGAGCCAGAAGGAATCCTAGGAATTACACCACTGGAGTGGTCCTCCATCATGTTCCAGGTAGAAGTTGGCATGCTATGATTGAATGACATGATCTCCAGGAGATCTTTGAGGTTCAAATCTCATAACCCAAGGAAGCCGGCCTCTCCTTCATTCCACCCAATCCCAGTGGCCATTGAGGATCTCCCATACCTACAGGTCAAACATCGTCATTGAGATCAGATTTGTTACAAATCTACTTTATTTCTGAGCTGTCTACTCTTTGTCTAGTTCTGAGCTTCTCAGGTCTGTACATGAGGAACTTCCCAACACCTACCTCTACCCCAAGGCACTGGGCCTCCTCTCTGGGAAGTTGCCACCTGAAAAAGGGACCTAGCTTCTTAGAGAAGGAAGCCAATTTATTTCCTGCTTCCCCAGGAAGCTACGACTTATAGAAACTTCAGGCTAATTTTGCTTTTGGGACCCAAGGTCCACCCCTCCCTCCCCATACACACATACATATATGTTCACACTCATAACCAGCCACTGCTGTCTTCCCAGGTGCCCCCTATTTGGAGCCCATAGAAGGAAGGCAGATTTCTCCCTCTCCCTCTCATTCTTGTGGCTGGGGTGCTAGATTGGTAAGACCTGTTATTCAGCAGCACCAGGTGGGTAAACCTTCTTGGCTGCCCGGCCTAGCCCTGATCACACAGCTGTGACCCCCGCTGGGTTTGTACCAGGTCTTGGCCAATGGCACATCTTCCAGCTGAGTCAGCGTAATGGTGACACTCAGGTGGTGTCAGGTGGTAACCTTAGCCTCTAGGCACTGAGCAGGGGGCCTTAAATGATAGGCTAGGACCTTAACAGTAGGGTCATATTGTAGAAAAGTTAGCCTGTCCTTCCAAGAGTCGTAAGTAAGAGAGCTGGACATGGCCCTTTGGCAGCCCCTAGCCACAAGCCCTATTTCATGGTCCCTCCAGGGAGAAGGAGGAAGGCAGTGGGACTTCAGTATAGCCTGTGGGAAGGAAAAGGGGCTGCCCATTCCTCTGAATAACCCATGCCAAACTGTGGCTGGTTAGGAGTGTGAAGGAAATAATTTCTTTGTATCAATAAGAAAATCCTGAAAGGCAGTAAGGGAGAAAGGGGACATGGGAAAGGACAAAGCTGAGAGTCAAAGGGGGATAGAGAGATAAAAGACACAGGTCGACTTTTCATCTCCATCCAGAATGGGAAGACAAAACCTTTCCAAGCGGTTGTCTAAGAGACCAGGCAGGAAGGGATCAGGCCAGGAGGAGCAAGGGGAGTTTCTTCAGACAAGGCCCATAGAAGGAGCCTGGGGTCTGGAGCCTTCGGATTTGGGGGAAGGCCACAAATGAGGAAGGGGGCTGGGATATGATTTGCTGGGAGCTTCAGGGGCTCCCAAGAAAGCAAGAATGTCCGGAGCCCTGCACAGCAGGAGGGTGGGGCAGAAGGCAGTCAGGGCCACCTCAGTACTTGGGCACCTTGCTGTAGTCTTCTGAGTGGACATGCCGGCACAGGCAGATGGACAGTATCATCCCCAGGAGCTGAAGAAACAGAAGCACAGGGTCAGACCACGTGGAGAGGTCTCAGCACCTTCGGGGGGCTCAAATCTGTCCAAATAGACTTAGAAGTCTGTGGCTGTGGTTCAGCCCATCCTTAAAACTGCAAGGATCTGCAGTCTTCACCCACACAGATTACAATCCCCTTACAGCTTAACTTTTCTTTTGGGGGGCAGCGCATGTATGCTTGGTTTTTGCTTTTTTTTGAGGGTGTTTTTTGTTTTTTTTTATATTTTTAGGCAATTGGAGTTAAGTGACTTGCCCAGGGTCACACAGCTAGTAAGTGTCAAGTGTTTGGTCTGAGGCCAGAATTGAACTCAGGTCCTCCTGACTTCAGGGCTGGTGCTCTATCCACTGCGCCACCTAGCTGCCCTGTGTGCTTGCTTAAAGGAGTCTGGCAAGAGGATCTGGAGTCAAAGGACCGGGTTTTGAATCCTACTTGTGACCCTTTCTACCAATCTGTATGACCTTAAGCAAGTCATTTCACCGGGCTTCATTTTTCTCATCTGTAAAATAAGGGGCTTGGATTCAATGACCCCTAAAGTCTCCTCCAGATCCAAATCTACGATCTCATGATCCTTTGAATTGAATTAGGAGTTTCTAGGTGTCAAAAATGTTATCAGTCACGAATAAGTGTCTACTCTATATGCCAGGCACCCTGCTAAGCGTTTAGGATACAAAGAAAGGAAAAAACAAACAAACAAAAAAAACCCCCCAAAAAACAGGCCCTGCCCTCCAGGAATTCAGAGTCAAAAATCTTCACCCTATGGTCAGCCTGATGAGAGTCTCTCCGAATGTCACCAGGCTGGTCCTCAGGCTGGTCCTTGCCATTACCAGCCCAATGCCTGAAGCTTTCCTGGCCGGCTGGGACTTAGAATAAGTCTCAGGGAAGTCCTGCTGAACATTAGAAAGACGTCACAGATTTCTTTCTAATTCAAAGTGGTTGTTTTAGGGGGAGAAGGAATGGAATTTTAGCTTTTTGTTTTCAATGTGTTTGTCTCAAGTCGGTTTTGGCATGGGCATCAGAATTTGGTTCAAATTCTCGGTTGCATCCCATCCCCCATCCTCCCTCCACCTGACTTCCTCCCATCAATACCATCCCATTCAATCATTAAACACTTTATTTTTTACAAAGCACCTTCTACCTTAGTCCACTTACTGCTCCTCACAGTAACCAAGTGAGATAGGGTGAGGCTGGGCTTATCACCCCAAAATTCACAGATGAGGAAACTGAGGCTCAAACAGACTTTCCCACGGTTTTTAGATTCATTAGTGCCAAAGCTCAGGTCTTATAAGTACCAATCAGGAGGTCTTCCCACGATGACACATTACACTTCCCCATCAGAGATGGGGATATCTAGCAGCACTTTATCCCAAGATGAATTTAGCCTGGCTGAACTGGATGATTAAGGGTTTATCCCTGGTGGGGAGTGGGGACAGTGTAGGATTTCAGGCTAGGAGGGCCTCTGGTCTGCCCTCAACTCATTTTACAGAGGAGGAAATGATGCCCAGAGAGGGGTAAGGATTTGCCCAAGGTCACCCAGCTAATCAGTAGGAGAGCTGGGATCTGAACCCTGGTCCTCTGACCCCAACATTCTTTTCTCTATTGCTGCCACATTTTTCCTGGAGAAGTGAGCTCCAGAATTTCTGCCAAGCAGGAATGTGGGAACGAGTCAGGAATATCAAGAATGGGCCAGGGCCCCAATGGCCAAGGATGCCAAGAAGAACAGTGGAGCCGGGGGAATTCAGACAGCTCGCAGACCACAGTGGCAAAAGAGAAGATTTTGGGGTCAGAGACTCAGAGCGGGAAAGAGGCTGTAGAAGCTGCATGTCTGACCCCCAGAGAAAGGAAGGGGCAGGAGCAGGTCCTATGACTCCAAAGATGTATTCTTCCCCCTGGGTCACACTAGAGAAGGCAATCCCATGGATCCCACCCCCCCCACACTTCCTCCTTCTACCACCCACCACACTGTCTCAGCTGGGCATTCCTGGAGGAGGAGGGGGCAAGAGAACCCTACCTCAATGACAGCCACTCCAATGCAGATTCCGAGAATGATGCCGAGATTGTCCCACAGCCATTTCTGCACTCTGTCCTTGCAACCCTGCACAGTAAAAATGCAGCTGCACCGAAGAGGATGAGGAAGAGGAAGGGGAGGGGAAGACCCGGCCCCTTAGAAAGGTTCAATCCCTCCCACTATTTGAGGGGAGGCTCCCGGGGGCGCCATTCTCACTCAAACCCTTTACCCACATTGGTGTAAACAGGCCATTTCTCAGGATCGTTGACCTGGGTATCATTGGAGAGCGTGCAGAAGCCATTCCTAATCAAGTCCTCCTCATTTACATCAAATAAGGAAGCGTTGCTGCAGGAACAAGGGTAGGTGACCACCGTCCTGTTCATGAGGTTGACGTTAGCTGTCCAGTTAAGGTAGCTGGTCCAGCCACAGCACATCACCTGTCACCAACACACACAAAGAAGGAAGATGGGGAGGTTAGAGCTCCGCATTTGAGGTTTAGCTTCTCAATATACAAGGTGCATGACCTCGGGCCAGGCACTCATCCACTCAGGTCAGCACTCTCCTCTCTAGTTGTGACGTTCTCTGTTCTTACCTTCCGGTCCCTCCAAACTCTGACGTTCTATGTTCCCTTGTCCCTCTTGGCTCTAATTATAGGGACCCTTCTAGTTCTTACAGGCCTTCCCCAATCCTGAAATTCTATGCTTTAAGGTTCCTCCCAGCTGTAACACTCTGTTCTAAGATGCTGTCTATATCTGGCGTCCTATGTTCTCAAACCCTTCATAGTTCTGACATCCTGTATTCTAAGAGCTCTCTCAGTGCTGACATTGTGTTCTCCTGCTCCTCCCAGCTCTAACATTACATGTTCTAAGGTCCTTTCCAGTTCAGACATTCTCCCTTTCATAGGCCTTTCCTTCCAGTTCCACCATTCTATGTTTCTGTGAGTATGATGTCAACATCAAAGGCAGAGTCAGGACCATATCAGCCGCCTCCTCGGGGGTTCCTTTCCCAAGGAAAAGGGGGAGTTTCCTGGCTGGGCTAGGAGCCACAACCCTGCCCACTTCAGTGAGGAGCTATGGATATTTCCCTGTCTATAGGGAAACACAGTCCCCAGGGACTGACACCATGCTGGTTCATTTCATCTTGGAGGTTGGTTCAAAAACCCTTGAAGCTGGTATCAAGAAGAGTCTGGCTGGGGCAGCAGTGGCCTTAGAGCACCCTCACCAACCCAAGGAATGCTGAGCCTTGAGGACTGCATGGGGACCAGGTACCTCTGCAGCTCAGAGGTACTGTCAGATGAATCATAAAATCTAGAGCCTAGATTTTGATCTAGGGAAGGGAGCCTAGACATGATCTAGTCCAGCCTTTTCATTTTACAGGTAAGGAAACTGAGGCCCAAAAGAGACACAGTAACAGAGCCACAAACTAAGTCCAGTTCCCTGATCCTAATTCCCATTTTCTCTCTATTATATAACATTGCCTCACTCGGACCCCTAAGGCTCTGACTCTGAAATTCTTTGGGTTTGCCTTGGATCAAACAGTGAGCACTCAGTTCCCCTTACTCTGCCTCCTTCCCGTCTCTTACCAGGCTAAGAACTACAGCCAGTTTCCCTAGGAGGGAGGATTTTCCAACACTGGAAAGAATCCCTGGTGATGGAGAAGGCACAGGTCTTATAAACAAGGAGCTAAGCCGAGAAACTTGTGCCTAAACTCAGACATTTTTTTTTAAATTTTTTTAGGCATTTGGGATTAAGTGACTTGCCCAGGGTCACACAGCTAGTAAGTGTCAAGTGTTTGGTCTGAGGCCGGACTTGAACTCAGGTCCTCCTGACTTCAGGGCCGGTTCTCTATCCACTGTGCCACCTAGCTGCCCCAAGATGTGTGTCTTTTAAAGCATCCCCATATATCACTAGTCTTTTTAGCTGACATCACATTGATATGGGGCAACTAGGTGGCACAGTGAATAGAGTGCCAAGCCTGGAGTCAGAAGGACTCATCTACCTGAATTCAAATCTGGCCTCAGACACCTAGCTGTCCCTAAACTCTGACATTTCAGAGACACCAGCAGGGCTAACTGCCTCAGCTGCTCCTCTGTGAAATGGGCATGATGCCTGGCCTACAGCAAGCACTTACTAAATGTTTTCTCATTCATTCTTTTATCATAATATTTACAGGTGTTTTATACTTGCCATTAAAACAGTTGGAAGAAAAGTTATTTAAAGAACTAAAAAATGATAAGCTATTATTACTTCTTTGTCCTTAACTTTTCTTTTAAAGGAATTTAATATAATTGGCATGCCTAGATTTCAAGCAAACCTGATATCTGAACAACCAAGCTGATTCTTAAAAATGCAAATTTAGATGTGATTATTGCCTTGACAAGATTTCAGCATGTAAATTCCCTTATACATCCAGGTCCTCTAATACCTTTAAGGGAATGAATGACCAAATGCATGAAATGAGTGAATGAATGAATGAAGTAAGTGAAAGAATACCCCCCAAAAAAACCCCATTATGTGAAGGAATGAATAAATGAATGAAATAAATGAGGGAATGGATGAATGGATGGATGGATGAATTAATGAAAAATCATTTGTTAAGCACTTAGCATATGCGAAGTACTGAGGATATGAGTCCTTGCTCTCATTTTTACATTTTTATATGGGAAGAAAATGTATATAGGAGAGCAATGACCAGGGAAGAATGTTTTGGAGAAGGAAATCAAAGAGCATGGTGATTGGAGTAAGAGGGTGATTAATGAAGATGCCCATGTCAGCAATGATAGTGTTGATTTAGTCTGTTTACATACAGCTTTTTGGGAAGCCAAGAGATTGTAAGCTGAACTTGGAGTTAATTAGATTTGATCCTTATTAACATGTGCAAGTCAATGAATTTCTCTGAGCCTCTGTTTCCTCATCTGTAAAATGGGGATAATGACCTCTGTAGCACTGACCTCACGCACAGGGTCATTGTGAGCATCAAATTAGCGCTTTGCAAACTTAAATACCATTTCAGGAACAAACTGTACAATTCTTGAATCCTGTGCTGCTCCCTAAATATTCCAACAGTCCGGGAGTAGAATGGTCTGCTTCAGGTGGTAGTGAGCTCCCCATCACTTGAAGATTTCAGGCAAAAGCTGGATAATCGCTTCTCGAGGATGCTATGTGTAATAAAGGGGATTTGTGCTTCCTGTAAGGATGGACTCCATGGTCCCTTACAAATCTGGGTTTCTAAGTCAGGTTTAAGTGACAACTAACTCCTATGAACTGGTCCCTATTCTGCTGCTAATTCACTGGGTGACCTTGGACAAACTCACCTCCTTCTCTGGGCATCAGTTTCATCATCTGTAAAGCTAAGAGAACTGGACTACAAGGTCCCTAAAATCAGTCAGCTGTTAAATTCTCTGAATCAGACATTCCAATACCCACTGAGGTGTGTGCATTAGCTCCTGGGGCCAGCAGGGGGAGCCCTAAGGCTGTTAAATGTGGTCCAGGCTCCCAGTCTCCCCCAAAGCCACAGAAAGAATTTACAGCTGCTTCCCTCCAGATTTGGAGCTGGGAGGGAACTGAGAGATCGTTTAACCCAAACTTCTCGTTTTAGATGAGAAAACAGAGACCCAGAGTAATGAACTGTGGCACCACGGAAAAATCATTAGCAGGAGTCAGAGGATGGGGCAACGCCTGCCTCCCACATTCACTGCCTACACAGCCTGGGACAAATTACTAAATTCTCTGCCCTTAGGGTCCTTCATCTGTAAAATGAGGGGGGCTAAATAAGGGGGCCTGTTTCCTCATCTATAAGATGAGGGCTTCCTCAATTTCCTCATCTATAGGATAAAGAAAGACCTGTTTCCTCATCTGTAAAATGAGGGGACCTCAGTTTCCTCATCTGTAAAGTAAGGGGGGTAAACCAGACAGCCTCTGAGGTCCCTTGCACTCTAGTTCTATGATCAAGGTCACAGAGAGAGGAGAGGCAGAATTCCAATTCAGGTCATCTGACTCCAATATTCCCTGCAGCACCAAATTCTAATCTGAGAGTTTTCCTTCCTAATCTGAGATAATCCTAGAATCAGATACTTAAAGCTCAACATCTTATAGCCTAACCCCATTGTTTTAATAGAGAGGACAGAGGAGGTGACTTGTCCAAGGCCACACAGATAATTATCAGCAGCAGGATGGAGATAATAACTAGTAGGAGTTTGCATTTCTAGAAAACCTTAAGATTTTCAAAGTGCTTTACAAATATCATCTCACTTAATTCTCACAACCCCCCTGTGGGGTAGTTGCTATTATTATTATTCCCATTTTTCAGCTGAGGAAACTGAGGCAGAAAGAGGTTAAGTGACATGCCCAGGGTCTCACAGTCAGTTGAGCATCTGAGTTGGATTTTCACCACCCTGCTACCAAACCCAACTTCCACTCTAGGCATCTTTTTATTATCCACTTCCTACATCATGTATTTCATTCTGCAATTGGACCTGACCCCTCATCTCACCCTCATCTCCCTCTTCTTTCCAGTCTTTGTTTCCTTTTTAAAGGGAGAGCAACATGCGTCCTTATGTTCCCATGTTGGAGACGTACAGGTTCCCAACAGTGCCCTCCAAGAACCAAGAAGACTTGCTATTCCCCATGCCAGGCTGACTGAAGATGAGGGATGGGACACCCCTGCTGAAGCCAGGGCAATCTCCTGCCATCCCCCCATTCCCCCAGCCTAAAAACAGCGGTTATCCATGACCCAAGTCCCCATATCAAAAAGGCCCAGATGCCCCAGGCCCCCTTCCCCCTCCCCTAACACTGTACCTGTGATTGTACATAATCCCAAGCATCCTGAATAGTTTTCTGTTCATGGTTCTCAGGGTCATAATTCAAAATCAGATCATTCACTATGGTGCTCACATCCTCCTTCACCTAGAGAGATGGGATAAGGGAACATGAGAGTTAGATGAACTTAAATCCAGGCCTTGCTTCAAAATTCTCCTCCTCCCTAAATGCTCATAGTGGGCACTGTAACAGACATCTCAGGAAACTTTCAGATATAGAAGGGAGAGGTATCAATGTTACAAAGAGGTGGCTCCGTCCTTTCCACACTGACAAACCAGTCACCAGGTCGGATGAGACACCCGTTCCCATCAAACTATGAATTACCTCCTCTCCCAGGAAATCTTCCCTCAGACTCCCACTTGGAATCACCTCCCCCCCTTGGGCATCATATGCCCTAAAGCTCTCAAATCTACATGAAAGGATCAATGATAGCATTGACATGAGTCCTTTCTTCAATGGGGACAGCTTCAGAATCATGGAATTAGGGCTGGGGCCCCCTCTGTGTCCACACCTTGGATATTAATAGAGAAGCTAATCTAGAATGTCAGAGTTAAAGATACCTGAAGGGTATCTAGAGTTTGAAGGAACTACAGAAGCCGTCTAGTCTGACCCATATGGAGATCCCAGAGCTCTTTCTATAATGTGCCTGAGAGGCGGACATCCTAGCGTCTCTTTGAAGAGTTCCAGGAAAGGAAAACCTGCTGCCTCCCAGGGGACCCCATTTCTTCTCTAATTGTTAGTGACTGTTTCCTGTCTCCCTCCACCTGCCACCTACTGATTCTGGTTTCTGCCCTTGAAGGCCAAACAGAACAAAGCTAGGCCCTCTTTCACAAGATAGGACTTTTTGAAAATGGTTATCATTTCCTTTCTGCATTTTCTATTCTTCAGGCTTAACATTTCCAATACCTTTAACTCATCTTCATACAGGAATTGTGGCTGTAACACCTCCTTCTCCTCTTTCTGCAGCTACAGCTGCATGATGGCCCAATGGGAGGCTGGGTCATCATGGACAATTCATCTAACCTTTCAGTATTGCAAAACTCTCTAGGACAATATATTGCCATGGAGGGAATCTCCACACCAGGAGTTCTCCATATCAAGGAAATCACAGGCCTTGGATGAAAAACAGCAAGCTATGCATAGAAAGACCTGACTGATTCCCTTTTTAGCAAATCTGATTAATAAAATTTTTTAAATGATTAAATTAGAGAGTGAATATTTCCCTTACAAAAGAATTCAACTCAGGAGGCTCTCCAAGCACATACAAAGTAGGACCTGACTCACATGCAGCTTTTCAAGAACATATCAGTATAAAGGGCAACAGGCCTGTAAGCAAATGGGTGTCATTGTGAGGCAAGCTGCAGGGAGGGAGAGAGGAAGGTTAGTGTCTCCAGAACCACAGCTTTGTTAAGAAAGCAGGCTCCCAGGGAGTTTTGGTGCCCTTCCTGTCTGAGCCCTCCTCCTGAGTACCTGGCCTGGCTTCCTCGTTTGCAGTGGAAACCGGCCCCCTGAGCATGCTGCAGAACCTCCCTGGCCCTAGACTCTGGGGGCTGGGGGTGCACCCCATGGGTCCCTTCTTCAGAAACACAAGGGGGCACAAGGAGAAACTGAGGCTCCTGGCTGGGGGATTTCAGAGCCCTGAACAGAAAAGGTGTCCACACTTTCTGGTTCTGGGACCAGGGTGCTGAAATGATGATTTCTGCTTTTCTTTCTTATGACTGTATTAAACAGTGAAAAAGTGGAGCCCAGTGGATTGGGGGCCCCTAACCCAGGCTCAGCCCACTCCCATTTCTTTAAACCCAAGAGGAAGCAGCTACAGAGAGAGTGGGTCAGTTCAGGTCAGCCTCTCATTCCTGGGCTCCTGACAAGCATGGACAGCTCCCTGCCTCCCAGACTCTCCAACTCCCCATTCCTTCATGGCCCAGTCTCAAGAATCTTTCTACATCAAAGGGGTCTCTCCCACTTCCCCTAGCAACAACTGTTGCACTAAAATAATTTTGTATTTCCTCATCTCTGTTTAAGCTTTTCATCCCAGTGATATGTCAGCCCCTTTTTCATTTTGTCTTTCTATCCCTGGCATTTAGCACCGTACTTCACTCACTGATGTAAGGATCTCCTCCAGTAAGGAACGTCCCTGACAAGAGGAATCAGCCCCTGCTCTCAAACTCAGTCTTAGAGAGGTCTGGGAGTATGGAGAGAATGCCCAAGGTCACCCAGTCAGTAGTTTGTCAGAGGCAGGACTGGAACCCAGATCCTCCTGATTCTGAGCCTGCTCCTTATCCCTTCTGCCTATCATATAGGAGGGTGCTTCTTCCCAGCAATGCACGTGGGGACCTCTACAGTAATCTCTCTTAGAGAGTCCTTCCTACTTTCTCCGTTTGATACACCTGGGCTCACCCTTCACTCTCATGGTCTAGATACCCTTCAGGCCTTGAACTCTGATGTTTTAGATTAAATTTTTTTTATACCCCAGGTGTGGGCACAGAGTAAGCCTCAACTTCCCCATTTCACAGCCCCAGGGACCCTTAAACAATACAGGGTGATGGAGGCAGAGTAGTTTCCACCAAAGACTCTACAACTGGCCATGGGCTGCAGGAGGGGAGGAGTCAAGTCTCTCTGCCACCAGCATTGGCCACCTTGGGCCACTCTAGCTCCCCCAGCATCAAGGAGCAAGGGGACCATACATAGCTGAGAATACTGCAATAGGACGGGGCCGAGAAAGCACATAAACCCACTGAAGGGATCCCTAGTTCTGTCCGAGAGGTGAGAAGAGATGGTCTCACCTAGGGTTCACATGCTACCTCCACCTTGCTATGGCCTTTGTTGACTGTCCCAGCCTAACACATGGAGACCCCTCTCTCCTCTGCACTCTCATGGCACTTGGTAGCTGTAATAATAACAATAAACTAGCACTTACATGCTACTTTAAGATTTGCAAAGCCCTTTACAAATATCATTGCATTTTATCCTCACAAAAACCCTTGGTGATAGATGCTATTATTATCCCCATTTTATAGATAAGGAAACTGAGGTACACAGGGATTAAGTGCCTTGTCAAGGGTCACATAATTGGTAAGTATCTGAGTCTGGATTGGAACTCATGTCTTCCTTATTCCAGGTCCAGCACGCAATGCGTTCTGTCACCTAGCTGGCTCAAAAAAAAAAATCTTTTCCTCTTCTCCTCCTTCTCCTCTTTCCTCCTCCACATTCCTATAGTGATTTGAGGTTCAACCACCTTGTGAAGAAGCTAATGTAAATGTAGTTATTTCCATTTTACAGATGAGGAAACCAGAGCTCAGGAGTTGTGTAAGGTCAAATAGCTATTAAACAGCAGAGCAGGATTTGAACCCAGGTCTCCTGTTCTAGGGCTGGTTTCAGTATACCATTCATTTATCACCTACTGCTACAGCATCAGTTAATTTAGGAATAGACCTTAGCTCACAAACAAGACAGCAACCTTCTTTTTCCCTGGATGGTTTTACTTCCCTTCAAGTGCTCTACCATCCAGCCCCACGATGCTCTGTCCACCATCTTTGTCTCCGCATCGGCCATCCCCATGTCTGCCCCCCTTCTCCGCCTCTCAGAATCCCTGGGCTCCTTCACTGCTCACCTTCTGGAGGGGACATTTCCTCCTCTCCCCAGCTTCTGGTGCCCTCCCTTCCTAAGCTGCCCAGGCTTCCTACAAGGCTCTCCTTGAATCCCACTTTTTGGAAGAAGCTTTTCCCAGCCCCTCCCCATTGCGAAGGCCTCTGGCCTGAGATTGCCTTCTCTGAGCACAGTTATGTGTCTTGTATGTGAACTGCTGTCTACCTACTGTCTTCCTCTGCTCTGCCCCCCTCCCCTCCCCCCGTGAACTCCATGTTTCTGCCTTTGTTTGTATCTATGGCATTGGGCACAGTGCCTGGCACACATGCTTAATAAATGCATGTTGCTCACTGACTAGTCATTCTGTACATACGTATGCATATATACAATACACATATGTAAGTACACTGCATATGTGTGTATGTTTATTTATCTGTTTGTTTGTGTATTTACTTATCTGACCTCAAGGAGTTTACATTTCTTATAAGGGAAATGTAACCTCCTCGAGATCAGGGGATGTTTTATTTTTGTCTTGTATTCTCATTACCTGCCCTTGGCACACAGTAGGTGACTACTACATGCTTGATTGATTCAGGGCAAAGACTCTGTCCTATTCAAAGCATTAAGAACAGGCCTCTCCTTGCACTGCTGACACCAGCCCCTACACACACACACAAGAGGTCAATAAAAGCCTATTAATCAATCCAATCTCAGCTGTCAAAGCCATACTCATGGCATAGAGGAAAGCACTTGGGGTTTCAATCAAGGGACCCAAATTCAAATCCCACCCACGATCCCTACTAGCTCTGGGACAATGGGAAGCTGAGCAGCTTCTCTAAGCCTCAGTTTCCTTAGCTGTAAAACAGAAAAATAAGACCCAAGCGAGCGGCCTCCTAGGCCTGCTACCGAAATTTGAGCTATTATTATTCTCTGATCTCAGCCCACAGTTTCCTTCTCCTGCCCCAAAGGGGAACAGAAAGGACCCTGCTTCTTCCTTTCGCTCTCACTGCCACCCCCCCTCCACCTTACCCCACCCCGGGGCAGGGCAGATGCAAAAACCTGAGCTGGGGGTGGAGGTCGGGGCAGAGGTGACAGGCTTTCCACTGAGACTCCCATCAGGTGTGAGAAGGGCTTCTCACAGAGGGCTGCTTTGTACCAGAGAAAACCCATTTCATCACCTGGGGTATTACTCCGTGTGTGTGTAGTGGGGCTTTTCGTGTTTTGGTTTGGTTTGGTTTTAAAGGGGAGGCTTGAGAAAGTGAGTTACAGGATGCCACCCTCACTGAGCAGGCTGCCCCATTCTCTTTGATGCAAAGGAAGTCCCGAGTAATTCAAGGTCTTAGGCTCATGGGATCCAAGATCTAGAGCTGGAAAAGATCTCCGAGGCTGTCTGATGACCAATGCCTGCATGAAACTGAGTCCTGGGAGAGATAGAATGACTTGCTCTGTGTTGCACAGTCAGTAAATCCAAACCCCTCATTTTACAGATGGGGAAACTGAGGCCCAAAGAGATTAAACTGACTTTTCCAGGGTCGTAGGATCCTAGAGTTAGAGAGGCCAACTGATCCAACCCACTCAGTTTCCAGACGAGGAAACCGAGAGCCAAGGGGAGAGGGAGCAGGTGGCCAAGGACAGATTAAGCTGAAGCCCCCTGACTCCAACCCCAGTGTTTTGCAGGGGTTTTATGTTTTCGCTTTTTCATTGTACAATGCTGCTTTTTCTTCTCTTCCTGCCTGGAAAGTCAGATAAAGTAGCCCCAACAAGGGAGAGTAGAATTATGGAAAGCCGGCCCACCATTTCTCCTTCTGCCTGCCCTTCCCCCATCCTCCCAGCTCTGGGGCTCTCTCTGCCTCCAGGAAGAGGCAGGCCAGCAGCAGCCAGGCCCAGAGCATCTTCCTGCCCTTTTCTTTACCGGGCTTTGCTTCAACTCAGATTCTTTCCGACCACCAGATTTCCTGAACCCATTCCCAGAGCCTCCTCCTATTTTCCAGTGCATGGAGGAAAAGATATGGATGTATGAAAGAGGAATGGAAAGAGACTCTAGAGGATTTAGAGACTGGACCGGAGCCCAGTCTAAGCTGCGGCCTGAGTGGCCTGCAGTCAGCCAACACTTCATGCACCCTCCCCTCCCGGAAGGGACTCGGTTCCCATGCTCAGCCCTCTTCCTAGGGTGACTGGACCACTCCAGTAAAGACAAGTGGGAATAGTTGGTGAAGCAAGACACTAATGAGCTTCTTTCCTCCTGTATCCCAATCTGGACCATTCCAGAAGGAAGCATGGGAATGGCAGACAGGGACTCATTCCCAAGGAGCATCAATTAGTCATTGTGCCAAGAATCAAGGATACAAAAAAAAAAAAGCCCTTGCCTTCAAGGAGTTTACATTCTAGTGGGGAACAAAAAAAAATTACACACATATTGAAGACAAATGGGGCAAATCTCTGAGGGAAGGACCAGCATTCAGAAAGACCAGGAAAGGCTTCTTGTAGAAGGTCGGGGGATTTGAGCTGAGTTGAAGGAAGCCAGTGGAGCTAAGAGGTGAGGATGAGGAGGCACAGAATTCCCGTTATGAGGACCAGCCAGGGAAAATGCACGGAATCTGGACGTGAAGTGCTGTGTGTGAGGAGGCCATTGTCACTGGGTCAGAGTATATGGGGGGGGTAAGGTGTAAGCAGCCTGGAAAGGTAGGAAGAGGCAAGGTTTATGAAGGGCTATAGAAGAGGAGTTCATATGTTATCCCAGAGGGAATAGGGAGCCACTGGAGTTGACTGAATGGGGAAGGGCTAACATGCTCAGACCTGAGTTTTAGGAGGATCACTTGGGCAGCTGAGTGGAAAGTGGATTGGGGTAGGGAGAGACCAACCTGGAGGCTATTGCAATTGTCCAGGACAGAGATGATAAAAAGGTGGACTAGGGGCATGGCCGTAGGAGTAGGGAAAAGTCAACGCACAGGAGATATGTTATGAATGTGGAAACCACAAGACCAGGCCAACAGATTATGACACACAGGATGAAGGACAGAACACGAGAAGTCATTGATGATACAGAGGCGACTGTCCTGGATCAAAGAGGGCAGGAGAGGAGCAGGAAGGAGGGAAGGGGCAAGAAGACATCTCCGTTGTCTTGCTTTCAGAAAGCCTTGAATTTGTCCCAACTCTTGAATCAAGCTGATCATTGGAACAAGTGCCTGATATTCCTGCTTGGATAGATGCTTTCATCTAATCATTCCTGGTAGTGATCTGACTGATCTCTGGACAGGAATGCCGTGATAGTTTCCAGGAACCAGAGTTGAACCTAGGGCCAAGCAGCAGCCTACAATGGTGTAGTTGAAAGAATAGATCTTGGTCTGAAAGGAGCATTAGTCACATCTCATCAACTGCCTCATTTTACAAAAGGGAAAGTGAGGTCCATTGCCCAAGGTCATACAACTATTAGAAAAGGCAGTTTCAAATCCAGGTGTTTTCATTCAAAATAGACTGTACTTTCTCCTACACCAGAGACAAGGTCCTATCCACCTCCAACATTCTATGACTCTGTAATGTGACTGAGGGTCTACCCTGTCTTTCCCTGGTTATCTCACAGGCATGACCTAGACCAACATTTCTCAAAGTGTTCCAAGGAGTCATGGGAGTCTCCAAAACTCTTTTAAGTGGTCCATGGAGTTAAAACAATTTTTATAACCCTAAGATATTTTAATTCCTAATATGATAACTATTGTTAGGTATAACCCATATAAACAAAAGCTCTTGGGGGGCAGGGTTCTCAATAATTTAGAAAGTTTAAAGGGATTCTGAGACCAAAAAGTTTGTCAAGATTGGCATGGGCAATTCAAGAGCCTTCCTCTGAGGGATGGAAGGAAAAGGCCCAATGTTGGCTTGGTCACCAGCTGTACCTGCTCACCCCCAGGATGGTTTGTCACTCTAGGCAGCAGAATAGCACTTACCACATCTGAGTGGACGTAGACAAGGATTCCAGTTGTCACCTGGCCCACAAGGATCAGAAGGAGGGCAGCAAAGTACTGGAAAGGTAAAGCAATGAATATGAGGGGTGGGGGATCAACAAAGGATATCCCAGTTAGCATATGTCAAAGCTATAGTATATAGCATCTAGAAAGATCTAGGGCTAGAAGGAATCTGAAAGCCCACCTAATTGTTCCTCTTCATTTTTTTGGGGGGGCAACTGAGGCCAATCTAATCTCCCATTAGGTTCACAATGACAGGGCTGGTCTAGCCATGACATTGATATGACCACCCTGGTTAGAACATTATACTACGTCTCATGAGACAAATCAAACTAAATTCACAAGGACACCCTTTCATTGAGGTGTGTGCTGAGCACAGGACAATGGACAAAGGCTAGTCCTGCAGATATCAGCATCCAGGCCTTCTACAATGGAATGCAGTAGAAGACAAAGAAGGAAGACAAGATCGGGACGGGGAAGGGTCCCCATCAGGATTATCACTCACCAGCCCCAATAGGCATCGGATCTCATTGATTGCACCAACACAACCCAGGAAGCCCATGATCATGGTCACGGCCCCAACCCCGATGAAGATGTATGCCCCAATCTTCAGGATGCTTGAGGTCTCTGGGAAAAGAAGAGGGTATGATCATTCCTTCCCCAGTTTTCCCCTAAACTCAAGTCACTTCAGAATCAAGAAATGGGGACCAGAGGGGATACCCATATGAAAAATCACATGCTTTCACTTGCAGAGTGAATACTCTTCATGGCCAACATGGCCCCAACATGGATGTTATCATGTTTGGTCTTTTGCAACCCTACAGGTAACAAGGCAGGGATTATTATTCCCCAGTTCACACCAGAGGGAATTGAGACTTGGATGAAGTACTTGGATGTAGTAGGTACTTAATAGATGGTTATAGAATGAATGAATGAATCCATCAATCAAAGCGACTTGCACAAGAGTACAGTAACAATTATAATAGTTGAATCTAGGTCTCCCTACTTCATCGGGAGGTCAAGACCCATCAAATTCTGAGATTCCATGGTCCTATGAAAACAATGAAGGGCAAACTGGCCTAGTGGATAGGGAGCAGGCCTCAAAGTCAGGAAGACTAGGTTCAAGTCTCACCCCTGATCCATCCTGACTGTGACACCGGCCAAGTCCTTTAACTTTTCAGTGGCTTGGGCAACTAAGACACTGAGTTACAGAGTAGTTGTCTCTCTGCAGGGGAAGAGGAAGTTTCTTCACTAGGAAATTTCCTACCCCAATGAAGTCATAGGTTAAATAATTTAAATGGACATTTCTATAGTGGAAAGGACACTGGGTTGGGGAGTCAGGAACATAGAATCTGAGAGCTAGATGGGACCTCCTATAGCATCTAGGCCAACTCATTCATGACCAAGGATTTCATCCACAGCATTCCAAATAAGTGGTGAGCCAGGCTCTGACTGAAGACTTCCAGAGAAGGGGAACCCACCATTTTGGGAGGCAGGCCATTCCACCACTGAACAACATTTATGCTTCAAGTATTTCTTTAAAAGATGGCTCTGAAGCTTTTCCTGCTACAGTCAGTTGCTTTGATTAATTACTTGGGGAAGGGACATTCTCTGGCTAAACCATGGGTTTTTACACTTAGGAACTTTTATCTCCTGCCTATCCACCATCAGTGACAGTCCCCTATGCCTAAAATGCTCTCTCTCCTCCACCTCCACTTGTCAAGTTTCCCTGTCTTCCTTGAACAGCCAGCTCAAATTCCATCTTCTTCAAGAGTCCTCTCCCCATGTCCCTCATACCTCCCCAAATACTGATGCCTTCCCTTCTAAAGGGCACTTCCACCTACTCTGCATGTAGCTTGTATGTATTGATTTATTTCATGTTGTTTCCCCCTTTAGACTGTAAGCTCCTTGAGGACAAGGATTGCTTTTTGCCCTCCTTATCTCCGGGTTTCTCCGTAACAGTAAGCACATAATAAATGTTTGTTTATTGATTCCTTGATGGAACAACAACAAAATATGTGTATTAAGGCAGAGCATTGTGCTGGGCACTACACCATAGGATCTATAGAATTTGAGCTGGAAGGGACCAACTTCCTCATTTTGCAGATGAAGAAACTGAGGTCCAGACAGGTTAAATGGCAACCAATGTCACAAAGGTAGTAAATTATAGAGGCAGAATTTAAACCCAGGTCTTCTGACTCTGAATCCAGGGTTCTTTCCACTCAGGACAATAAGACACCAACACTTCACTACGTGATTAAAAATTTGAGAAAAATTTCAGGCAATGAACTGTGTGAGGTCAGAAGGGAAGGTCATTCCTGGATTTGGGGGTGGGGTAGAGTCAGGGAAGGCTTTCTGCTGTGGGTGACATCTAAGTTGTAATCTATAAGATGGGTAGAAACTCAATGGGCTGAGGTAGGAAGGAAGGGAGAGAGAGCACAGGGAATGAGCCAAGACATTAAGGACAGAGAAGGAAGTCTATGTCCTACAGTCAGCAACTTGACCAATTTAGCAGGACCAGAGAGGAGAATACCATGAGTGGACTGGGAAGATAGGGTGCCCTGTCAGGTTGTCAAGGGCTTTGAATATCAGGCAGAGAAGTCTGAACTTTATTCTGAAGGCATCAGGGAACCAATGAGGACTTTGAATATTAAATCTGTATGTAATGATCAAAATAATTGTTAGCATCTGTATAGAGCTTTAAAATTTGCAAAATGCTTTACAAATGCCATCCCATTTGGTGCTCACAACAACCCTGGGAGGTCGGTGCTATTACAGATGAGAAAATGGAGGCAGCCAGAGGTGAAGTGATGTGTCCAGGGTCACACAGCTAGTAAATGTCTGAGGACAGATTTGAACTCAGGTCTTCCCTACTCCAGGTCCAGTGCTCTATCTACTGTGAAACCTGATTGCTTTTGGGGGGGGGAGGGCAGCTACGTAGCAAAGTGGATAAGTACCAGTCTGGCCCTGAAGTCAGCAGGACCTGAGTTCAAATCTGGCCTCAGACTAATCACTTGACACTTACTACCTGTGTGACCCTGGGCAAGTCACTTAACCCCAATTGCCTGAAAAAAAGAAAAAGAAAGAAAGAGGGGGAAGAGGGTGAAAGAATGCAAGAAGGCATTTGTAATTGGTCATGGGCTTGTCCTTGGATGGTTCCAGTGGGAATGGGGAGGGGGGAAGGAGTTTGAGAGCTGGTTTAGAGATGGAATCAACAGGACTTGGCAACTTGATGCTAGGTGAGGAAGAGAGCTCCTGTTGGCTAACCGCACCAAGAAGGCTGGTGTAGTCATAGGACACCCTTGGGGCAAAAGATGCCATCACTAAGTTCCCCCAACCCAGAATGGGGCCAGTCCCCATTGGTGGCCCGCAAAGGGTAGCTCCAGTCTGCCCAGCCCACAATGAAGATGCTACTCTATATTCACTCATCAACTCAGCCCCAGGCTAGTCTGTTTAGCCGGGGATGAGAAGTTGCCTGTCTGCCACCCACCTAGCTCCCAGGGAAGATTCATGAGGTCAGCACTTGTTTGAGATGAAGAGCTCATCAGATGAAAGAGGCTGAAGAGACTGTGAGGAGACAGAAAGCTTAGGAGATGTGCCTCAGTTTCCCTATTTGTAGGTCATGGGAGAACAGTCTTTCGATGCTTTAAGTTTTTTGCCCCAGGTGAAAGGTTAATTAGCATGTACAAGGACCAGATGAAAGGTCTTAGTGACAGTGTTAATGATGATGACAGGGCTTTCCCATTCCAAACGGGCAGCTCAGGAAGGAGGGAGGCAAACCAGAAGAGGAAACGTCTGAACACAGGAGACAAACTGGTTGCCTCCACCTTTCAGCAGAAGGGATGCCGTCAGACTCAATTACTTCTCCTTGAAAACCCCATATTGTTTTAAGGGATGGATCTCTGGAAAGGAGGAGAGTGACACAGGAAAGAAATCTAAATGATGCAACAATAATAAATGCCAACAAAGACTATTTTAAAAACCATTTTTTAAAAAGAAAAGAAAAAACCCCAGCTACTATATTCTGGAGTGAGTCAGGGCTCACTGACTGTGAAAGACTCATTGCAAGACACCACTGATTTCCTCTCTCTCTGCAGACATGCTCAGACTCCTGTGGGCCCAAGAATAACCCCCAGGAATCCCCTGGGGAAAGGCAGTGGCTGGGAGCTAGGGCCCTTCAGAAGCAGCACACCCTGGGACCCGAGACCTCAGGTCTCTCCCTTCTCCTGTCCCCCCATCCTTCCCAATGGATGGGAAGCACCTTCTCTCTGACGGGTGAAGTCACTTGCACAAGATACTCAGTGGAGAGCCAGGATTTCCCTACAGTAAAGAGGTGACCATCGCCCCTTCCCTCCCCGACCTGCCCACAATTTCAGTGACTCCCTATTAACCCCGGGGTTGTTTGGCATTTAAAGGTCTTCACGACTAGGCAAAAGTCTTCTTATGGCCTATTCTCCAGTGCTGGCTTACATACCTTTCCCCAAACTTGACACTCTATCTCCCGCCTTTGTATTAGAGGCAGGTAAATGGCACAGTGGATGGAGTACTAGACTTAGAGTCAGGAAGAGCCCAAATTGAAATCTGGCTTCAGACACTAGCTATGTAGCCCTGGACAAGTCATTTCATCTCTGCCTGCCTCAGTTTCCTCAACCACAAAATGGAGATAATAGTAGCACCTACTTCCCAGGATTATTGTGAAGATCAATGAGGTAACACTTACAAAGCACTCAGCAGTTGCCTGGCACATAGCAGGTACTAAATAAATGCTTATTCCCCTCCCCTCTTGCACTGGCTGACATAATACTTAGAATGCTCCCCTTCTTAGCTTCTCCGCCTTTCTTCAAGACTCAGCCATCTTCTACCCACGCCAGGAGCCTTTCCCAGTCCCCTAGCTGCTGGTGTCTTACCTCTCTGTCTACTTTCCACGTATTCAGCAAGCATCTAGTATCCGCTGAATTGTGTCCGTGTTGGCTGCCTCTTTGCATTGCATACTCCTTGAGGAGGACTGTCCTTTCTTACTTCATCAATCTCTGACACTCAGCATAGTCCCACAGGAAGTGCCTAATAAATGCTTGCTGAATTGAAGGAATGCTGGAAATGCAGAAGCCTTGGGTTCTGATCCTGCCTCTGCCACTGACTATCGTCTGCAAGTGACTTTGCCCACCTCTCCAAACCGTGGGGATGATCACTCATTCAGAATCTGCCCAGCTCTCAAGCTGCACCCATCCTTCCAGGAGAAAGAAAGCTCCTTGGAGACTCGGGGCTATTTCATTTTCCCCTCTGTGCCCCCAGGTGCCTCGTACAGAGTTGGTGTTTAATAAGTGCTCGCTGAGCTCAACTGGATGAATGACAGCTGAAAAAGGGAATGCCATCCCAGGACTCATTAAAGAGTCTAGGACTAGGGAGATGGCCAGGCTTCAGGAATGTCTTTGGCACTTGTACCACCTGCAGGTCAGTTCTAGGCATTACATTTTAAAATGTATTTATTTATTTTAGGCATTACATTTTAAAAGAAGCTGGAGCCTACGAACAGATTGTGCTTTCCGAGCATCAGGTAAAACAGCTGGACCACATCAGCCTAGAGGACACAATTCTGAACACAAACACGCACGTACACATACAACAGC